ATAATATAATATAATATAATATAATATAATATAATATAATATAATATAATATAATATAATATAATATAATATAATATAATATAATATAATATAAAAGCGAACAATTTATTTCTTTTTAAACTAAAATTTCAATATTAATTAATAACTTTCGCCAAAATCTACTCATACATAAGAGCTGATAACAATGATTTGCGCAAAAAAAGCTTCGGACATCACGAACAAACAGATTTTTTCAGTCTTAGGAACTTCTATAATTAATTAAATCACCATCATATTTTACAATTTGATTTACAATTCCAAGGTTTTATCACTTGGGAAACGAATAAATCGTTTTTATGTATGAATTTCAAAAATACATCTGAATTTACAAAAAAAAAGTATTTACATAACCTTTTCGAAATAAATGAGGAAATTTTATTAATCGGTGATTAAATGATTAAATTTTTGTTTACATGATTGCTGTTTACCAAATCAACTTGCTAAAATATTTCCAAGCTATTTGATCCAAAGCCATACTAGAAACCTTCTTTTTTATACGTTTTCCCAGTGGCGATAAGACATCCTTTGCATGAGTCTCAGTTCAAGAATTCATTCAGTCAAGCGGAAATGGATTGAGAAATGACATAGTTAGAAAAGCAATCCTCGTTTTAATAGAAGTATTGTTTGATGCAGAAAAAACGCTGATAAGAAGGTTATCGACAAGCAATGTGACTACTGATCGATTCACACCTGTGCTTGAAAATTTTCTTAAAACAGCAAATAATGGCCATTTTTCCCCACCGAAAATGAAAAGTATAATCGAACCAGAGTTAAGCTTGAATGTGTAGAAGTATCGGTTTTTCCGCAGATTAACTCTGCAGCCAATTTTTTTTTTCAGTATACTTTACTATTTTTAAGATACATAGGAGCTAATTTTTCTTTGTAATCTTATTGTCGTAACAAATTAATGAAACAAATATCTTGTAAATATACCCATTAATATTTTTCTCCATAGTTTGATTTCGATGAATTTAGTTTGAGGGATGTGTTTAATTATTTGGAGTCGATACAGCGAAAAGTTCACCAAATGAATTTTTTTTAAATTTATCGAAATTTTTATGTTTCTTTATGCGGTATTATAATGAAATGGGAAAAGCAAGAAAATCTAGAAGGAATAAAGAAGCAAACTATTAGTTGATCTGTTATCGCCAAAAAATGTCAGCTGTTCACTGAAACTACATAAATTTATCTATCTAAAAATTTTAGCTCAATATCGAAATAGATTTCGGTCAACTGGTAATCGTTATTCAAAGTGGTGAAATATTTTCTAATGAAATGAATCGCCTTCGAACTTCGTTTCACTGTCGAAAAAAGTTAATAAATAAATTTTATTTGAAAAATTGAATATTTGAAAATATAAAATATTTGAAAATTTTAATTGAAAAATTGAATTGAATTGAAAAATTATTAAATTTTAGATGATTCAATAAGAAAATCTGGAAAAACCAAGATTTCTATTTATTTATTACTTGTATTTACAGAATGTACTTTCATATTTTATTTTATCTTCATTATTCCATTTATTACCTGCGTCTTTTATAGGCTAAATTGATAAATAAATGTTTTCTTAAAACTGAGAGAACAATTAAAAATTTTTCAAGAAGTGAATGAATAAGTCAATTGTAAATGAACGCTTTTAATTGAAAACATTAAAATTTATATTTATAAGATCTTTAAACAACATTACCATCCAGTTTATAAAATTTTGAAAAAATAATACTAAAATTTTGTGAATTAAAATTCAAAATTTTTCAGTCCAACATCTCAGATACGTTTTTTTCAGCTAGAATAGTGGTTCTTAACGTCATTAGAGAAGAGCAAGGACTATGAATTCAAAGTGTAAAAAAAACCATAATGAATTTTTGATAATGAGTTTATTTGCAGGTCAACAAGTAAAATTTTCTTTGCTGGAAAATTGCTTATTTTGCATAAAAATAGCAGTTTTATAAAATTTAAATTTTATTGAATTGATTCAACACATTACTGAAGGTAAAACACCAAGCCATTCTATCTCCAATAATAAAGTCATTCTAATCCTATTATCTCATTTTATATAAATGGAACGATTGGTCTATGGCAACTAAAGAAAGAAATAGACATTCTAGATTGCAACTGAATCTAGCGAATCCATACAGAGTAATCGCTTTTAAATGATTATTTGTAATTCTTTTATTTTTTTAAAATTTAGTTTCAATTTTAAAATTTTGTTCTTTGTTTTGAATTTAAAAAAAAAAAAGTATTATTGGGTTTCACACTCAAAAATTCAATGAAAGGGACTATCATAAAAACTTCCTTTACTGTCACCTAACGATTTAAAGAAAATCTACGGAACTCACTGTGGATCATCGATGTTGCTGTTCTTCTCAAAATAAGACGTTGAATTATTATCAGGTGTCACAATGCAAGGTCATTGAATACTTCCGACACTGGTGACACATGTGTGTTCCTGCCATGTGGATCAACGTAAAGCCGTTAAAGGCCCGTTTTGCCTGTTATTCTATAGCTAATTCTATAGCTTCTCTAACTTTTTCATTGGTCCATTGGTCTTTTTAGTGACTCTTATTGCTGCTCTGTTGTACGTTTATTTCGTAGTCTCCTAAACAATCTTGTCAAACGTGCCTCCTTGAGATTTGTGCCATAGGTAGCATGGTTTCTTATGTGGCAATAGCTTTGTTCTTTGTTATTCGTCATACTGGTGCACTGAACTAATTGATGTTGTTGTTGATGCGTGTGTTTTTTTCATGTTTTTCCCGTTTTGCCTGGAACTGGAAAACATCCACGTAAAATCCTCTGGATTCAATGTTCAATATGAATCAATTTTTCTGAAGCACTATTTGCCAGCCTAAGGCGTCACAATGTATAACTTATTCATTAAAAATGTTATTTCACATGGTAAACTACCAGTATCAATGAAAAGCATCTTAAGAAGCTTCTGCTGTGATAAGACTTACTTTGGCAAAGAACATAGATGCCTTTTGCTGCTAAAATATTTTTGTTATTCCGCACAATTCAAAACTTTCTAGTTGTCCTCGGTGAAACAGTTGTTTATGAGGAATAGACAGATTCCATGAATCGGTTTTCTTCTTCTTTGGGGAAAAATCATGGTTTTAATCCGTTATCCTCCAATATCATGGCGCTGCCAACCTTGGCCAATGAAGAAAATATTTGATCGGATTGTTGTATGACTTCATTCATTTCTTTTTGGTTGTATATAGAGCGATGATTTAGCCTGATTTTTTTTTAAGAGTCCTCACCATTACTGGTTAAACTAACTCCGCTGGCTTGTCGCATTGGACAAATATAGGAAGTCCCTTAGCGATAGAAATATAGGTGAATCGCCAGCATCACCCTGTGAATTGGTGATTGGTGCAGATTATTTGAAATTTGTTTCAAATTGCCAGTGATTTTGAATCAATTTGTAATAATAAAGAAGCATGATCATATCGATTTCACCAATGGTCATTACTTGAAAGCCTATAATAAGGTAATAAGGTTATGGCTAAAAGGTTAGATTTCTTTGACGTGACGTCTACATCTCCCGACGCGCATGTTACTTCTGACCCGGTGGTACATGTGATGAATATACAATCCGGGCACTATAGTAATAATAATAATAAAATACCAAGGCGCAAGCATAGAATTTGCTCACGAACCGAAATAAGTACTCAAAATCCGTCAAGGAAGGCGATAACCTATCCGTTAACACTTTGTAAGCGCGATGAGGTGTTGGCTATAGCTGCTTGGAACGTCAGAACGCTTATGGATGTTGCAAGCCAAGCGATCACTATCCACACCCTCTCCAAATACCGCGTGGATGTGGCTTGTTTGTCGGAGGTCCGTCTTCCTCATGTCGACTCCCGAGTAATTATTAAACCTGGTTCCGAGCAAAGATATTGGCTATATCGTAGTAATGCCTCGGATAACTCGGAGCAAAATGGCATAACGATTGCCATGTTGGAAAAGGCTCGGTCCGCTCTGATTGAATGAAAACCAGTAAATGACCGTATGGTCTACACGCGTTTCTAGGGAAAGTTCTGCAATATTTTGGTTATCAGTGTATATGTTTCAATTTTATGCGTAGATGAGCGCGATATGTTCTATGCGGAATTTTAATTGTTAACAACATTCCTATCGAGAGGTGACATGGTCATACTCGGGGGAGACTGGAATGCGCGCGTAGGTCATGATGCCATTTGGATGAACTCGATGATTGGCAAATATGGCTTCGGGGTCAGTGCGCCAATGGAGAAGCCTTCTTCGTTTTGCTGAAGAGCATGAACTCTTTGTTACTAACGCATACTTTCAGCATCGGAGGAAATAACTCTCCGAAACCAATATTCCAATGGGATTGACTATATGTTGGTCAGTCACCGCTGGAAGAGTTCTGCATCTGATAATCGTTCTTATCGGG